AAAGAGTACAGTTTTTTTTTTTTTTTGAAGTCTTGACTCTTGTACATAAACTGCCACCTTGGTGTACTATTTAAAATTCAAGCAGTCCACATATAAATTTTCCTGTAAGAGATCCAATCCAGTAATGGGTGTTGAGGATTTCGACTCAAATTAAAATTAAAGAAAGAAGGACTTACAATGCCATACATAATTGAATGGTGTAATTATATTTTGGAGTGGGAGCAACGTTGATATAGTGAGAAAAATCTGATAATTGAAGTTTCGATTAGTAAATTGATTCTTCGCACTCGTGGTCAGAGCAATAATTGAGCAATTTTTAATCTTTGTAATTTGTTTCACTCTTTTGTGTTGATTTTTATTTACGTTGTGTTTCAGTTCTGCATCTTTTGAAAACTTTTTACAATATTAAAGGGCGGGATTAAGAAAATCTCCTTTACTTGTTTATTTAAATTATTNATAATTGAATGGTGTAATTATATTTTGGAGTGGGAGCAACGTTGATATAGTGAGAAAAATCTGATAATTGAAGTTTCGATTAGTAAATTGATTCTTCGCACTCGTGGTCAGAGCAATAATTGAGCAATTTTTAATTTTTGTAATTTGTTTCACTCTTTTGTGTTGATTTTTATTTACGTTGTGTTTCAGTTCTGCATCTTTTGAAAACTTTTTACAATATTAAAGGGCGGGATTAAGAAAATCTCCTTTACTTGTTTATTTAAATTATTAATGTTTTTTTATTTTTAAAACACGATTTAAATTGTAAAGCATAAAATGTTGCAGATCCCAAATCAATTTTCGGATTTTAAGAACAAATCAGAAGTGGTGTAAATAATGCAGAAAGTGGGGCTGGAGATGTGCTAGATCACATAGTGATTTGGTCAAGCTGGCATTGCAACAGAGGGCAGACCCCACTGCAGGGTTCGGTACATTTTTTCACTTCTTCGACAACCCAACAGAAGGCAAGGTGCAACATATGTTGACTTGTTCGGCATTTTGACAGATTAGTGGAAGAGGTTCTTGGACCCTAGCCAATTTGCGGCATATCCTGTGATTTACCTGGTCTGCATCTTGAGGGGCCAAGTCGTAGACCTCAGAATTAGTCGCTGAAGGTGTCCACCTGGGTATCAAAAAAAAAAATAAATCAATAATGTTTAAATGAATCATTCTATCCATTTAAAAGCTCAAACGAATTACCAAATTTTAATATTGATTTTTTAAATAAGTCATCATCGCTGAACACGTTAAGGGTAAAATTTCATATTGATTAAAGATAATAATTATGATCCGCATATAAGTACTTAGTTTACTACTTTTAACCTTTTAAGACATTAACCTGAAATCCAATTAGTGGTATCCATAAAGAATAAATATGACATTCGTTAAATAATTGATGTGGAGTTTATCAACATCGATCAAACAATTTTATGGTTAGGACCATTATCGTAGATGTTGATAAAGAGGGTGGTTGTATTATACATATGAAAAAAGTTCGAATGTTTGTGAATTCAATGTCCATAAGAATAGAACGTATGTTTCTGAGTTATACGTGGTCTCAAAGAATATAGAGGTATAATTCACAAATGTAGTTGGAACATTATTAATATTATAGACCATACTTGTATACAATCTTTGTCTTCATACAACATAAGTAATGTTGTAGAAAAGATATTATTCTAAAATAAATTTATTAAAAAGAAGCTCTGCCTGTTATTTAAAAATTAAAAAAAAAAAATAATAACATATTTTTCATTATTTTAAATACATTATATTTTAACACATAAAATAGAAAATAATTGTAGGGACGAGTTTGGGATGGGGACCAAGTTTCCCATCCCTTTCTCGATTTCCAAATGGGGCAGGGCACATAGCTTTGAAGCTACCCTTATGGAGCCCGACAACATTTTGGCATGAAAAAGTGATTTTCTTGCCCGAAAATAGGAGATAATGATGACTATTATATTCTACTTGAAAATAATAATTAATGGCTACAAAGTAGAAAGATTTATTGAAATGGACTATTTTTCTCCGTTCGTGCTATATATATCTATATATAATAATTTACACACACATAAAGTGGTCATATATGATTAGGTCAGAATTTTTTCAATTAAATATCAAAAAACAAACTTTTCCACTCTCGTTTTGACTTCATCTGTATGTAAATCACTATGAATAATGTTGCACCTTAGCATGTTTGATATTTTGACCTTTCCTTTTTAGTTTTTTTTTTTTCTTTATTTTCCTGAGTTTATTTTATTTTAAAATAGTAGTATTAATTGCCTTGTAACGGAAAGTTTTACATTTAACACTAAGAACAAATAATACTAAAAAAATGAAAAGTTTGGAATGCCACCAAAAAAAATAGGTTGAAGACCAAATCATTAATCACTACAAATACCATAGGTTTGTGATCTAATGGAGCAATTTTTCATAATTTAAATTGAATTCAGCATGCATCTTCACGTGCATATTTTAATATTCTATTCATCAAATACTTTACACACAATTTTCATAAATATATGCATAATGGGATCCACTTGGCAATATTTCATTCAGAGTTGGGCAAGAAGATGATGATGATAATAATAAAAACAACAATGCAAACCTTTAAATCTGTTTGTGGTTTGTATGGGATCCCCATACAAACAAACTAATCCACAACTTTAAGATGGTTATCTTCTAAGAGTAATACTACACGTACTGGGAAAGTTTCACAGAATTCATACAAGGGGAGACTTGGCGCAATTTTATTGGCAGTTAACATAAAAAAAAAAAATCTGCGCAGTAGATGCTGGTAATCTGCTACCAGCGCAGCACCTATTGGAATTTTGTGAAGAATTCTCCTGTACTTTGGGAATTTTTCATCTTCTAATAATATTTAAAGAAGTAAAAAAGATAGATTGAGGTGGGCAGAAAAGAAATGCATCGGATTCTGTTCAGTGAACTTATCAGATGCTTTGCCCTTTAATGTAGAAAACGTTGCCTTAGAGAATAGCCATCAGGTTACAATTCTATTTGCATTTTATGCCCCTGTTTGATACCCTTTTTTATTTTTCCCCAAAAACTCATTTTCTCCAACATTTTTTGTAAGCCAGATTTGCTTGAATATATTGATTCTTGTTCGGTGAGATAACGACTGTATTGTCTTTCATACAACATATTTCATCCGTGACTTTTGTTATTCCAATTTTAAACCCCACCACTTTCATACTTTTATATTTGGGGGAGAATGCTTGAAATGCAGTGGAATACATTGCTTGGCAAAGGAAACTCGGTAGAGACATTGCACATTGCAGCAATCTAACTGCACTTTAAGTTGCTCAGTCAGAAAAATAGAGTATAACAGTCCTCTCGTAATAGAGTAGACAAGACAGCACCACGCGTAACGGGTCGAGCTAAGAGCTCAACAGAGTCAGGCCTTGCCTTCGAACAAACTAATGGTCACCCCAATTTTTAACGGGTGCCCAGTCATTCTCACAGATCTGCCATGTGTCCTTGTTGAAGAAATTTCTTAAATTATAAATTCTGTTCAAAAAATTAAAATCTCCTGAAAATGGAATTTTAATGTACATCAAATAAACGCATATATGATTATATTTGCGACATTGAACCACTTAAGTCACGACACTTCTGAAGCAGAGTGGGTAACAAAGAGAAAAAGGGGCCGATCCACTCAACTTCTGAGATGTTGTGACATGAGTGATTGGAGATCATAAAATGGACCGAAGAAGTGACAGCAGCAGCCAATAAATTGTCCTGTAGTCTCTGTTAGTGAGAGATAAGAACAGATCCCATATCGATTTTCAGATTTTCAGAACTAATCAGGCAAACTTTAACAAAAGCAAGTTACCAGCAAACCTGAATAATGTAGACACTGGGGCTGCAGATGCGAAATGTCACACCAATGGTGTAAATTAGACCCTACTCGACCGACATGACTGAGTTTTCAAGTGGTCTAGTCAAGCCTTGGCACAACTCAGCTACGAGAGAGGGCTGACCCACATCTCGTTCAGCATATTTAACAAATAGCACATTGAATATATTACTCAGGAAGCGAAGAAATGCACACCAAAAACGGATACAATCTCATTGTTTCGTATTTAATTCAAGTTCAATGTACATAAAAATAGAAGTATAATTCACAAACATAGTCGCAGCATGTCTTTACACATCAGAAGTAACGCTGCAAAAATAAAAAAAAATTACTCTAAAATAACTTTATTTCGTTAAATTAATCATTTGCAGAGCAGTGTATTAAAGAATCAAAGCAAGTAAATAGAATGTAAAATTAAAAATATTAGAAGGTATTTTTTTTTTTAAGCTTCGTGATTACGCTTTCTTCTTAGATTCTTTATCCTTCTCCATTTGTTCAAACAGGCTTCCGTCATAGGCAGCTCTGACTACATCTTTCTTCAGCAAGCCGTGCTCATCCTTGCAAAGGAGATATAGGATTTTCCACTCCGAGAAGCCTGCCAGCCTGCATTTCACTCAATTAACTTAATAGATAAGATAGTTACTAGGACTAGAAAATAATCTTGACATACCATCCTGCATAATCCTTTGGCTCCCTGTTGGACTTGAGAAATTCGTTCAATTCATCTGAAGTCAAGGCATTTGGATGAGTTTTTGCATGCTTGACGAATATCTCTTCAAATTTTGATGGAACAAACCTTCAAATTTGGTATTAACAAAGGAAATTAGAATAGTTTGCAGTAATTAAGGATTATGTACCGACTGTAAAGAACATCAGTACGACTACCAAATGTAGCAACTAAACAATGTAAATACTAGAAGACATGTAACTTCTATAATTCATTTCAAAATAAACTTGCCATCCCAATAATACCTTCCTTGTTTGTCATAGACGCTGGAATCACTCCCATGCTTGCTCAAGTGGATATTTTTCACCTCAATCGGGAAGTGCAGAGAAAAGGATTTCCCCTAAATGCATATATCAAAATTAAATACCAATGTGCCCTTTCTAAGTCCATAAAAGAACAAGAGAACGAAATTGATGCACACAAGTTATATCCATTTGTACGAAATAATAAAAATTAAACATAGTCAATATTTGCAATTAAACACACCAATTCAACATAAGAATTGAACTGTCATGTCTTATAAGTTTGGCACTTTTATGTCACAACAATTCTAAATCTCTCTTATTCTAGGGGAAGTCTCCATAGGGATGGTTTACAAAAAGCGAAAGCTCCTATCCACTAAACATAGGGTCCGTTTTGTACAACTTTTGAAAGTCAAAAGGAAATTTTGAGACTCAAAACTTGCTTCTGGACCTGTTTGGCTAATGTTATGAAAGTGGTTCTTCTAATTAGAAGAGTTTTTAAAGGAAATTGGTCGCTTCTTTTAAAAATACTTTCAAAATAAGAAGTTCTTTTAAAATTTAGCTTCCAAACAAAAATTAAGATAACTTCCTTCAAAAACTGACAAGAAGAAAAGTAAAAACAAAAGTAAAAGTTATGCCAAACGAGCCCTTACCCAATGAGTCTTGCTCTCTCATGATGGCCTGTAGGCGTCCCTCGTCAAATAAGGGACGCTTTTGAAAGTGAAAACAAAATGCAATGAAAATGAATGTAATGCGATTCTAATTAAAAAATATCTAACAAATGAACAGAACCAGAGATTAAATTTAACCAGAGTCCTATAATAACATTTTCACTATCTATCAACAATCCAGAGTACCTTATCAAAATGCCAAAATTTTAATTCCACTCTTAATCCATACAAATAACCTATGTATGATATGTATATGTCTGTAAACAAATTAGAGGAGGAAATTACAGGTCTAGTTTTTCGACTGAGACCGACGTTAATGAAAATGGCAGCAAATGAAGATAACAAATACCCACAACCAATTGCTCGAAACCCTGCAAAATCAGTAAACCAAATTAATCAAAAATAAAAAATAAAGACAGCCACAAATTTTACTGCCCAAAAAAAAAAAAAAATCTTTTGGCCAACAAGAAGATGAAATAAATAAAAGAATACCTTGAAAAGTTTCTGAGGGGTAAATAATACCATCTTTATTTCGATCAAAGAACATGACATGCTTCTGTAGAACGTTCTGATCATGATTTTCTATTCCTGCATTCAAATCAATTCTTAAAACTGATTAAATTGTGCAAAACATCACCCGAAAATTTTGACAAAAAATAAAATAAAATCATTTTAATACCCTCTATATCTGAGAGAGAACTGGAGTCTTCCGTAGCCATGACTGCGTAAAATTGTGAAGCAAGTGTGAATGAGAAAAAGCAATAGATAGAGAGATGTGTGTTACACAACAAAGTGCTTTATAGGTTTTTTCTTGGTATATATAGTGGAGAATATAACATTTGAGAAGTATCGTTCAAGTTCAAGAAGTCCCAGGATAGATTTGAAGGCAAGGCATTGAAACGACACACGTCCAGTTTCTTTTGCTTTGCACGAAATATGTTACAAAGAATCAAATGCAGATTTAGTGCCTGTTTAATTTTTTTTTATGGTTTAAAATCATTATTCTATTCAAAACCCTTTTTTTCTACAATAATGGTTGTCTCACAGATTCTTAATTTTGTGAAAAAATAATGTCAAATAATTTATTTGTTTTCTTATAATTACAAATTTGCTTTATTTCTTGAGTTTTATTTGAAATTATAAAAAATTAAAATAAAAACATTTCAAACACTTATTGATTATTTGAATAAAATTTTTAGAAATATCTATATAAATGAAAATGGATAAAAATTCTCAGTTCAAATAATTTATTTTTACTTTTTATATTTTTCCAATTTAATTTATTATTTATTTTATTTTACTTATGTAGAGAAAAAATATCTTCTATATATTAAAAGTGGTTATGTAACGGAATTTCTTGTTTTAAACAGGCAGCTGCACCTTCTTTCAGTATTTTTATCATAACTTTGTATTCTGAGATCCGATTGAGGCGATTCAAAATGCGTTGGAAAGATAACTCATCTGGCTATAACTTTGATTCAGACATCATTCTCCAATTCGATCACTTTCTATACCAAAAATAGGTCTCAATATGAGTAAAATATCGGAGCATAACTTTTCGGTTGGAAATTGATTTGTGATCATCTTTTGACTAAATTTAATTCCATTGACGTCTTCCTTTATCCAATTGATTCCGAGCACCCTCAAATCTTCATCGTGAGGTTCGGCAC